GCCTCATTGTATTATATTCTTACTCTGATATTGCTAAACAAATTAGTCATTCAAAATTAAAACCAAAACACTGTAAAATATGTTTCAACTACTCTTCTACTTTTCTTTATATATATATATATATTTCAACAACAAATAGAAATTTTATAATTAGATTTAGAAGTTAATTTAAAAACTGCATTATCTGAAATTTACATGTTTGCATACAATTTTGTAATTTGAATGTTGATTATTATATTTAAAAATAAATAGAAATTGAATCTAAGCTTGGGCTCTGTTGTTCATTGTATCCTTATAATAATGTAAAAGGGCTCCCTATAGTTTAGAGCATAAACTGAGGTAGATTTTTATCCCTAAGAAAACTTTTCTTCAGAAAACTGGATTTATTTTAAAAAACAGCAACTTGTTCAGTAAACCACGCTTTAATAAAAAAAAAACAAAAAAAAAATTTTTATGGTTAGTTATTTCCCCCTACTGTTACGAAACCATACTGAACCGTGATGTCAAAACCGAGGTACCATCATGTTTGTGTACCGTTACATCCAAATAGGGATGAAATGTTAATAAAATTCTGCACATTACTGACAAGTCAATATAAATATATATATATATATACACATACACACACGCACACACACACACACAGTATATAGACAGACTTGTCATTTGCACTTATATATTGTTGCTCTTTTGCTAGTTTTGACTGCTTTTATTGTCCTCATTTGTAAGTCGCTTTGGATAAAAGTGTCTGCTAAATGACTAAATGTAAATGTAAATGTATGCAACACCTATTTTTTTTTGCTGTTTTGCTGATATGGTTGCTGTGAAATGCTGTAAAAACCCATGAACACTTTACTGCTGAAAACTATGTAGTAATGACTACAGAATATCTGACAAAATTATATATAGCTATATATTTTTCTTTTTAAAATAACTTAAAAATGTTATTTGTGTTAAATGTAAAATCTCCAGAGATATCGCCTACGTTTAAAATGTTCAGCTGATATAGTGTGGGGCAAAAAAAATAAAAAAGAAGCTGACTTATTGTGAAAGTAGTTTATCAGCTTCTGCAATTGGGTTAAACTATTTACAGGAATGCAAGTGATATCCAAAGTTACTTCTGTAAATAAAGGAGAAAGAAAGCTCAGGTTTTCATTAGAATGTCATTTCCACTCACTGTATGTACTAACAGTAAACCCTTAGTTTTAAGTAAAATCTTATAGTGTCCTTAACACATTTTTAACAATAATATAACCTTTTACATTTTTTCTTCCCTCAGCTAATGGGAATCTCTTTTTCTGAGAGCTCAATGGCAAACGATCCACATGCTGAATCTCACCTGTGCCAAACGTCCACTACAAGTGTAGTTCTGCCCATTATCTACACCATTATGTCTATTACTGGCCTGCCAGGGAATGCGATTTCTCTCTGGGTGTTCATACGCAAAATTGCCATCAAAACGTCCACTCACATCTACCTGATAAATCTAGGGATCTCAAACTTGCTGCTCTGCCTCACCATGCCATTCCAGGCCACATACTACTCACTTGGGACCAAATGGCGCCAGCACGACACCATGTGCCAAATGGCAATAAATGGTTTAACTCCAGTGATCCACATCAACATCTGCATTGCTGTGATGATATTGAGCTGGGTGGCACTCAGTCGCTTCGCCTCGCTGATTCAACACTCCCATGCTGACCGTCCAAGCCGATGGCTCAAAGTTCTACCAGGTGCCTTTCTCTGCCGAAAACGACATGCGAAACTGGCCTATTCGCTGTGCATGGTCACCTGGGCCATTGTAACCATAGCGGTCACATCCTTTGTGGTGCTGTACTCAATCAGGGAGGCTAGGAGTGTGGATGACAGCGACGGAGATGAAGCGTGTTACAGCGTAGCAGTGGAGGTTGGCGGGGAAGGATCTCATGTCTTCGCTTTAGTGGCCGTTTCACTGTTCTTTGTCTTCTTCCTGTTGGTCATATGCGCTTACATGGCAGTGATCAGGCACATCTGGAGGTCCAGGAGAAGCGCGGTCATCTCAGACAGCCAGCGAGTCTACGCAAGAGTGTTTCGGAATATTGTTGTCATTATGGTGGTGCTGGTGGTCTTACTCCTGCCTCACCACATCTACAAAGCCATCTTTGTTCATATCGTCAATGAGCTGTCTTGGTCTGCATCACCTCCAAAAGACGCTTGCCATCCACTGTCCATGTACGTGGAGGTGAAGAGCATCCTGCTCTGTTTAGCAACTCTGCGATGTAGCACAGACCCCATCATGTACTTCCTGCTGGACAAGACGTTTCGTAATCATGCGCTTAGCCTGCTGAGATTACGCAATAGTGCAAATGACAGTCAGTCATCAAAGTCTAACATGGGACAGTTATCTCAGGCAACAAGTGCGTGCCTTTAGACATTACTTGAGAGGAAACTGTACACAGACACAAAGGAGTCTCATTGTGAGCAATGTTCCCTCACAGCTAAATGTTGTATGGATGCACACAAACATAAGAAAAGGGAGAAACTTCCTGAACAGAGCTAAATAAACGGGCATCTCTTTAACTGGATTACTTCTGCATGTCCATTGTTCTTCAGTATGGATGCGAAGCTGTGAGAACTCTTGTGTAAAATGATGCAGTGCTAAGAAATGCTTTATAACAGAGGATATGTGGAGAGGCACACAGTGGAACCCAATGTAAACAAGTATTTTGCAAGTTGCAAGTCCCTATAATGTAACCAGATGTTTTGAAAAGCAGCTACAAGTCAGACTGATGCTTCCGTTCTCACACCACTTTGAATTGCTGGAGTACTTTGTGTAGCTTTAAATAGATAGTTTAGCCAAAAACTGAAAAATTCTGTCATCAATTACTCATTCTCCTGTCATTCCAAACATTGATAACTTTCTTTCTTCTGTAGTCTGTTTTTTTTTTGTCTATTTTTTGTCTTACATAAAGTCAGCATGAAATGGACATTCACCAATTCTCCAATCATTTAGTCCACTTATAAACCTGCCTCTTTCTTACATTTGACTAGAAACTTGCATTCAGATGAGTCTCTTTCCAATCACAAACCAATGATTTGAACCGAGTGCCTGTACATTTTTCCTTCTTTTATAAGCTTTTTCATTTGGATGTATGATATGGAAGAAAAGGTATGTTGCTACTTTTGTTTATCACAACTTTAAAAAAGCCATACACATTTGGAATGACATGGGGTGAGTAAATGACAACAGATTTTTTTTATTTTTTATATTCTATACCTCTGATGTGATTTCTCACACATTTACAGCATGCCTCATTTTTACTTTTAATGACTATATTCATTTCAGGTTGTTTTTCAAACATGTTATTGTTACAGGTCTTGCAGGGCTGCTTGTTTCCTTTTTTGTTACATTTACCCACTTTCCTGTTTCTATTTGCATGCTGGTTACTGAGGTAAATGTGATGAGCTTTCCATTACTGTAGCTGTGTAAACAAAGTATGTGTGCTTTCAAAACGGTGCTTTGACTTTTTTGCAGCACACTCATATGACTATGTCACAGGTAATGATGCATGATGGAGTAGGTATCCATCTACGTTTCTAATGACAGCAGCATTAAAGGCCATTAATTTACAGACAGTAAATATTAGAGTCTGTCATGAGCTTCAACATGTGCATCATTACTCCTATAAAATAGCAAGATTATAGTTACCTATTTTGCTTTTGCACCATCATTCTAATCTCAGCCAGATAGCTAGCTCTATAAAGCCATTTTGTCAGAATATAGTCAGTCAAATTAAAAGGCAAATCTTAGTCTCAGTGTATCCAGATAGAAACTTAAAAAGTTGCTTGGTGTAGTATCATATCAATGGTGCATATTCTAAACATACAAGGCAATTCACAAAGAACAATGCTAATGTACAGTATGAGTAAGAAATCTTTGAAAGAAGTGAAATCTTTCTTCCTTGATGAATGAAGTTCAAAAGAACACAGTTTATTAGAAATGGAAATCTTTTGTAACATTATACATGTCTTTGTTACTTTTGGTCAATATAATGCATCCTTTCAGCATTAATTCCTTTCAAAAAAATACAAAAAAAGTGACAGGTGAAGACTGGGTGACAGGAGAAAATTATGATTCACAGACCTTTGTCATCAAGATCATCTTTGTTCTAATAAGATCTGATTGCTGGTGATGGTAGATTTGCATTTCTCTGAGGCAAATGCAAACGCTTAATTTTTTCTTGCACATCACATATACAGTATAAATCTAGATACATAACACGAGTAAAATCCACAATACTGATACTACTCATAACACACTTTGTCTAAAGTTTACTAAAGTTTGTGTTTGCATTTATTAAACACAGTTCAGAGATACACAGAATAAGTAAGATCCAGCGATTGTTAAGTCTGATCAATGCCAAATATTATTGGTAGTCAAACACGTTTTGAGCAGTAAAAATAAATGTAGCAAAGTATTTTATTTTCATGTTTAACTTTTTTAATTTTGTCACATTTCTTTCAGAAGTGTTGTTACTGTACATGTTTGAGGTTTGTATTCAACAGCCTGTTACATGTCTAACAAATTCAAATACTGAGAATAAAGGTTTTTTAAAAACCTATGTACATTTCTTCAATGTAAGTAAACCAAATGTCCTGGCTTGATAATTTTTATTAGCATAGCAGCATATATGAAGCTTTTTTCCTTAGTACCTGTAAGCGTGGGCGATTGATGGGAAACATCATTATACTTTCTATTTCTAGGTTGTGAGTTCAGCTCTTAAGCAACTGATCGTCAGCACTTTATATTCGTTTCCTGTTTAATTCCCTTGTATTGACAGCTGAAGGCTATTTATGAGAAAAGAGAACAGCCCAGTTTATTCTTACAGTGTGATGGTAGGATGATACCATACAATAGAAGGGGGAAGTTGCAAAAGTGTGAAAACCGCTAAGACATGTCAATGTGTAACAAAGGGCTTTGGTCAGCAGTCATCTAAAGCACTAGACACCACTGAACTTACCTTCACATCCCGGTGAATGATGTTGTTGTCATGGCAGTACCGCAAAGCCTCTAGGATCTGTCTCATGTAGTGACTAAAAAAGAAGGACAGCAGAGAAAGACAGAAACCTATATTAATTTCAAACTTCATTGGCCTTGTCTACCTGAATGGGAAGAAAATGGAACTAGGTTTGGAACTACATTATGGTGAATAAATGATGACAACATTTTTGGGGATTAACTATCAATTTTAACAGAGAAATCTCAGTCTACAACTTTAAGAACAGCACAGATTTCTGAGCCAAGTGGATTTTGAATGCAACTTCCAAAAGACCCGGAAAAATAGCCGAATAATATTTTTTATATTTGATACAATCACACCGGAGTGATTAGGTCGTTCAGTGCGGCACAGCATCAGCTGCTAAATTCAAATCTGTGTTCGCTGGCTGGCGCTGAGCCAGAGACAGACGCGTTTGTACAGCACTGCATTATAACCAATCAGACATGATTCTGTTAAGCTTATGAATGCAATGACCAATCAGACACGTTCAGATGAGTCATCGCTGCTACTGTTTTGATAGCGTCGATAACATTTCTGACAGATAATATCATGATGTGTTTTTTTTTTTTTTTCGTTTGCCTTACCGAATGTGGTATCCTATCAGCAATAACATGTCTGTGGGCTCTTTTGATTACTATCAGTTTAAGTTCTGGCAGTGTTGCCAGATATTGCTATGAAAAAAATAAAAACCGAAAAATAAATAATAAATAAAAAATAAACCGAAATAAGTTCAAATCTTATGTAAATAAGATAAGATAAAGATATCGCTAAACCTAGACGGCAACATCCCGCTCTATTAACTTTCTAAAGTGTCAAATTAAGTAGAAAAGACAAGTCCAAATGTGCTTATAATAACTGGATCTGGCAACACGGCTGCGCCCGTGCCCTCACTCACAGTTCTCTGTTCTCCCAATCCTCGTTCACTCCGCCAGCGTCTCGCAGCGCTCATTTTAATACCACGGGCGCTAAACATTCTTGCAAACTGTCTAAACGTAATTATACATGCAGACACTCATATGAGGAGCTTTAAATAGCAGATTAGTCATTTAGAGAACAAATTTTATATTTGAACATTAAAAATTTACCGAGGTCCGAACCTCGGTGACCTCATTGCTGGCTATGGGCATGATTAAATTCACATTAAATACAAAGTCAGTCGTATTAAAAATATTTTATGGCATGACAGCCATATTTGCTACTTAAGTAAAAAGTCTGGTTTTTAGGCTATGTGTAGTTAATAGATTACACTATTAGTCTACTTTGCCCATCACCATTTATTGATCAAACAACATAATCTATAAAGGTGCAAAACGCATTTACTTACACATATTTGAGAATCGAGATATTTCCTGATAAAGTTAACACGTTTGGAAATATTTCAGAATGGATGAAAATCCTCAAAAGTATTTACCTGGCTACTGCCTCACTGTAAACAAAACCAGCATCTGCTCTCTTCACAATCTCAAAGCAGAGATCTGCTCCATCCATGCTGAAAGACAGAACAAGTCAGGAAACTCATCAGCAATGTAAAGTCAAATACTGGCACATCAGTTTTAAAATCTATTTCTGGTTTAACTTTACAAATCTGTAAGATAAGAATGAAAAATCAATTTTGTCTGACTCCACCTACACTGAAATCTCATCCAAAATCCCCCCCATAGGAGTATATATTAAAGTGCCCCTATTATGGATTTTTGAAAATTACCTTTCATGTAGTGTGTAACACAGCTCTAAGTGAATGAAAACATCCTTCAAAGTTTTAAATCTGAAAGTGCACCGTGTATAAAGTTATTGCATCTCAAAAAAAAGAGTCGACTCTGAATCATTGAAACGAGTCGCTTTTAAAAGGAATCCCAAGCCATTTCATGTTGATGTCAACATGAAGCATTAGCATATTGCCCGCCCACTTGTTGGTCTTTCAAGTTGGTCTGAATAAAAATGCAAATTCATTCTTTGCCACTAGGTGCCGCTTTTGGAGCGGTAAAAATAGCGGTCTCCCCGGTAACGCTGTACACAAAGCAGCACTGTGTTTACAAACGCTGCTTTATCAGGCATTACAGGCATGATGAAATGAAAATGAGACAGATCAATCACCGCAGATTAGTGCCACGCAAAGGAGGGGTTCGGAAAAATTCATCGCTGAGCGAATCGTTTGGGAGTCGTTGAGCAAGTAAGGTAAAAATAAATGCATATTACAAGACAATAAAAGTGTTTTTTGACCTTGCATGAAAGTTATTTGAGAAAAGCTCTGCACTTCAGATAAGCATATGAGCATTTAGCATTTGAGGAATTAAAAAGCTCACCCTATACCACACAACAAAACCTATACCCTATTCCAAAACCGCTGAGAGAGTAACAAACACAGGCTACTCAGGACAGAGCACAGCATGTTCATGCCTTGTTTTGAGATGCTTTTTAGAGTTCACTGACCCAACCTCGTCACAATATGCTTCAAAATAACCTTGAAGTAACACAAAATTCCTTTCACATATACTAAAACAACATGGATGTGTCGGACTTTCATTGCATTTAAAATTTGATGTGAATAAAGAATAATGATAAAACAAGTGCAGATTAGCTCAGAATGAAAACTTACAACTCAAACACCATGTAGAGCATCCCATCAGAGCTGTAGGTCTCCAGAAGCTCCACTATGTGAGGATGTTTCAGCATGTGGCAGATGCTTGCTTCTCTCTTCAGATCTACAGAAAGACAAAAAGATAGGCTAATTTCAGTTTCCAATCAAAAAGTCAAGTTTATTGATATAGCACTTCTTTTACAGTACATATTGTTTCACCCAGGAAGCCACTCAAAATTACTATGCTTAATAACGGATCAAAGATAATTTTCAGTTTAATTTAATTTTCTACAAAATAATCTATTATTTTTTAGCAACATTAAAAACACTCGTATGCAAAGGTTTGATAAAAATGCTTAATTTAAACATGAAGTATGATGTAATTTTATTTAGACGTTTATTGTCTGTAATATCCCAATTTAATACAAAAAGTCAAGCTCAGCACCATATTTCACATCTGCATCTTTCACTACTAAAACTAGTTTATACAGTAATTCAGATGCAGGATTTCGCACAATTAGCAAAAATGTGCAAGAGTGCACAAACAGACATCTGTGTGGACGACCCCGCACACACACCGCTGCTCTTCTCATCTGTGATTAAAACGGTTGGCATTCAAGAATCACAGCCATTAGAAGACAGTAAAAACAGTTGTTTAACAAGCAAGATGAGCCATGTGAATACATTGCATAAGTATTCTGCATGTGTGAACTAGTGCTGGGCGGTATACCGGTTCATACCGAATACCGGTGTTTATTTTTGTTATGATATGAATTTTTAAAATACCGCAATACCGGTACGCGACAAAAGGGGTCGTGTTTAGTCACTATTTAGTGTGGTATTTTTTGACAATATTCACTCATTATGACAGTAAAATAGGGCATTCTAAGTCAATATACTGCAGTATTTCCTCTCTCAATCAGTAGAAAATATGGTCAACACACGGTCATGCATGGAAAAAAAATACCGTCATGCACCGTGAAACCGGTATAATTTTGAAAAATACCGTGATATAAATTTTTGGTCATACCGCCCAGCACTAGTGTGAACCACATTAGTCTTAGCATGCCGTGGGTTTCCTCAGAGCAGGGCCATAGTCCACAGTTTAACAGTCACACTTCCTCGACTTTTTAAGTTCCACATAGACTTTTTGGTGCCGTGAATGGAATGTGAGATTCACATATATAAGGGTCTCATATGCATTGATCGAGGAATTACATGGACCACATCAAAGTCCATCTGTGCAACCAATGCAAAGACCATGAAACAGGAAATTACATAATGAGGCCCTTTAAAGACTTTCATGCCAAGGTTTATCTCTTAAAATATCAAATTATTGAACGTTTTACGACAAGTCCCCTGACCCCAGTAATAATAAAAAAATCTGAATTAGTAATTCTTGATATTTGTGAATAAACAAATAAATACATTTTTATTTAAATCTTTATTTATACTCCAAATTTTACTTAAAACCTCTGAGGGATTTTTCAGTAAATTCCACTATCAAACACTTGGAGAGGCTGTGGAGCTAAAAAAGCATCAAATAAAAGACTAACCTATGCTTTGTGTCACAGTGAAATTAGCATGTGAGAGACAGTTTTATTATATTTATTTATGGTAAAGCTAAAACATCAATGTACACTAGCTCAACCACCATGAAACAAACAGCTTTGTTTAAAAGACACAGAGCAGATAGAACGATAGAACAGGAAATGTGCATCTCAGAGTGTTGGACATATACTAACCACAAAGACCATGACTCAGAATAGCCAAATGCATCACAACATGTGCATGCATTAGTACCTCGCTCTTTCCTAAAACTACTCTGTGTTTTTTTAAAACTTACGCATTTCCTCCCTAGCGGAAAGGCCTCCCCCTTTCCTGACTTGTTTCATCAGTTGTGACCCAGTTGGCAAGAGCAGGGAAATACCTCTTACTGTACAGTATATCACTGCAGATTACAGTGAAGCTACACAGACTGGAGGAGACACGTACTGTACACGTACAATACCGTCTGATGTGTGAGGTCAGCTTGCTGCAATGCAAACTAAACTACATCACATTATAAATAAAATCACACAAGTTCCCCTCACTGCAAAACTTCAGTTGATGGATGTTCTGTTTCTATGTTTGACATGCTAACATTTAAACCAACATCTGCTCAGTTGAACCTCTTCTCTGTCAGCGAGAATAAAAAGTAGTAGTCTATCCAAGAGAGTGAACATCAATCAGACCGACCAGCCCAGATGCTTGTTACTGATAAGCCATAAACCAGACACTCCCCTGAGTGATTTATGCAGACTACTGCATGGATCTTCTTTATCTAAACCACCACTCAGACATTGCAGATGAGATTTTAAGTTGTGGGTGCCAATGGAGCAAAAGCACTTTTTAAAGGGAAAAAATCAGGCCCATAATAAAAGCCATAAAATAAAGTGTTTTTATGACACTTGACATTAACTATGATCCACTAATGTTTGACGAACAGACATTTTATCTTCAACTTGAAATGTTTAGCTTGCAAACTCTGCTTGTGCTATCATGCTTTAAAATAACAAAATGTCAAACCAAGCAGCATTTATCTAAATCATACATTAATGTTCAAAAGTGTGGGGTCAGTAGAATAACAATAAATCTTTCATTTGAATTAAACTGCTCAAAAGTGGCGGCCAAAGAAAAATTCCATTTCAAAGAATCTCAAAGAAAGATCTCAAAATGCTGTGGCAGTTCAGCCCAGTTGGTTCTACAATTTCCTTTGTACTGAAGCTAAAAATTATGTTGAATTTATTCAGTTACAAATATCTGAATGGTGCAGGTCATCATGTGGCACCTCTTCCGTCTGCTCCAGGTGTTTGAAGCCTGTGTTTCAAGGGTGGGGTGCTTAGGGATTTATGGGAAAATCTGGGACACTCATGATGAGGAGACAATGTGCAGCTTTAATATGATGCAACAGCAATCTGAGATGCAGCTTGATTATCTGAGGAGGAAAATCTTTGAAATCAGAGGGTGAGATTTACTCACAGAGAAGAGGCAGCTCGGCTTGGATGTTTGGCACAACATTCCCACACAGTCTGGACACTCGCTACTCTCTATCTCTGTCCAGCTTCCTCTTGGAGCCTTCCCCTGGGACATTCCCACGAGTATCTACGAGTGTCTACAAGTGGCCAAAGTTCTCACAACACACTCTGTGGCACGTACATGACACTCTTGGTGAAGCACAGAAGATTTTACGGTAGGGATGCACCGAATGTTCGCCAACCGAAATTAATAATTTATAAATTAATAATAAGCGAAAAGACCGAATAAATTGTACCGAACAATGATATGACGCGATCAAATAGCAACCAGCACAGAGTGAGAGGCGCGCACTCTTTATTATGCAGCACACACGTCAGCAGTGTGGAAGCATTTAAACTGTCGGAGAAAGACGCAAAAATCATTACAAGCACCGACAGCGAGAGACTGTCTACGACTGCATCGCATGTCTTCGATGAGAAGAGGAAGGGGTGATTGTTGCTGGTTACTGTATGATGATTGAAATCGCAAAATGGCCTTAAACAATTAGTAAATAAACTGCAGAACGTTATGTTTTCTAATACACGCGCGCATTGCATGTATTCTGACAGCGCTGCACGAACTCGCAGCAGATCTGCTTGTTAACCAGGGTTCAAAGTCCAAAGCGCGAGGAAAATCTGCGCTCGTCAGTTGCTCAGTCACATTTTTATGAATTTTTACAAGGCATGTGACAATGCGATACATACGACGTATTCGTAATGAGACTCATTTATAAATCTGCTGTTGTCAACAAAAAGAAGCATTGAGGTCTTCCTGCGTGTTTCCGCCAAAA